TTATGTGTGGGTGAAGAAGTATTAAATATGATAGCGAGTTATCTTTCTGATGACAAGAAACGTAGAAATATGAAACATGTTTGTTGATGCAATAGACTATTAATGTATTTTTTAACACTTCTGGTGAATAGTCCGTAGGAGTAGTTGTTGTTAGTATCACCCAACTAGTGGACTAATGCAAATCCTGCATTTTAATTGGCTACGCTACTAGAGGACTATTAGTAATAGTCCTCGAGTAGCTAAATTGGCGCAATCGAGCGTTACGCTTTCTTTCGTTTTATTCCGAAATAAATATTTCTTCAACTTGCATTTGCTGATTAGACCCTTAGACCCTTCGCACTCAAAGGCCACGGGTCAATAGCCCATGAGGCGAAGCCGGGCTACGGGTCTAACTGTTAATTATAAGTTCCTCACCGTTTCCTCTCTACGATGCTCGCCAGCTCCAGTAGGTCGTTCCTCGTGTTTCTGCCGCTGGTGCACAGGTGTGGAGCATTTCTTAGACTGTTCCTTTTCGGGAATTTTTACTGGCCCGTCCTGCAAAAGGAGTAGGTTATATTTTCACAATTAAACAGAAATTACTGTCTGTTTCAGCAACCAGAGTGATGTTAAAAAAAGATACCAAATAGGAAATGCGAACAAACTAAAAAATAAAGCAAAAATAGTAAAATGAGAGAAAATGCATAGCAATAAAACACCATGCCATTAATGTTCCTCTTTCGTTTAATATTATTATTAAGAGTTGCTTTTCCTTTTTCCCCCATTACACAATCCAGTGAAGTTCGCTGCAATACCAGGGCTATCAGGGCTATTATTATCAGTATTATCCACCTCACGTGCCTTTGACGGGAAGACATTTTCTTTAAAAGCCCTCATGTTATTTCCCGCCGGCCTGTAACGGCCTACCACGAACACCTTCCCGTCGGCACTCTTAGCCCTGCCTATTCCCAGCTCTTTGCTCCCTTTCCAAACGACTTGTGTGAAGTGACCGGTGTTCGACTGGTAACCAGATTTGCTAAAGTTGTAGTCTTTCACTTCGCTGTACCAGCTGTTTACAGCGTCGTTACCGTCAATTTCCCGCCCAAACACCATAAAAACATTTTCGCCATCTTTCGTGTCGTCATGGCGTAGTCGGCCTTCGCGCGCAATTTGCTTGGCCCATGCCTCGGCGTCTCGTGCAAGGGCGCTGGACCATGTGAGTGGAGGAGCTTGATGAGCTTTTCTAAAGTTGTTGTGGGCTTCCAGAGCTTCTTTCCCAAACGAATCCATATTTCTATTTCACTGAAAAAGAAAGCGAAAGTTAACTTTGTTCGATATGTAAATGGCCAATGTGACTTCTGTAGTTTTTGTTTAACTGTCTTCCATTTTAAATAGAATAAATAGCGAGAACTCCATTACAGTGTTCAATCTGGTTGGATCTCTGTGAGTATTTCGAAGGTATTTCCTGATAGGGAGCTTAAGCAAACCACGACGGCAACGGTAACAAAAACGTCACCAAACAAAAAATTTACTGAGCGGAACAATGGCTATGCTCGTGCGTTTTAAATATTTGTACATTTCGTAGCCGTCCTCTACTAAACAACAATGTGAAATGACCAAGTTTAGCTTATCATGGAGAACGTAGGCCACGGGGGCAAATTTTTTCGCATTGCGTTTGAGAATCGATCGCTGGCATTACATATTTAGTTTGAGCAGGTTTTCAGATCTCAACAGGTTCAAATAGGAACGAATTTCGAAGGTAAAATATAAATTCATTATAAATCCATTGAAATATAGACCCATCTGTGGGTCGTTTCTGGCGTCACCGTCGTCTTTGCTTAAGCTCCCTTATAAATCATCGCTGAAATGACAAACCTAGTGGTTGCTTGGAGCATTGATTTAAAAGTAAATAACTCCTACCTTCAATTACTGCACTATCCTATTTAACGAAAAATAGTAAATTTAAACAACTCGTCGACTTGTGTATGAAAATAAAGTATATCCATTACAGTCTGGATCTCGGCGATTTATCCAACTTACGTGGCCCGTAATAATCTTCTTCACCAGCATTTAACCGTTAATTATAATGCCAAGACGAAGGTTCAAACCAGGATCTCAACTCCGAGAATTTTCATTTTCGATAATAATCTTGACATCGTGGAATATTTTTCCTTGTGGCAATTTGAATTTTAAATCAAGCGCATTCAACAAAAGTGAAATGAAGAAATGTCGAAACTGAAATTTAGCAAGCTGCAATTGAACTTGTTTTTTGGGTAGGTGGATAAATAAATTTCTAGAACAATGGGAATCGATATGATGTTAGCGGAAAACCCGTGACGGTCAAACGAGCACCCCGGGACGAGCACCTTGTGAAGGCTGTCACGGGCATGTCCTTCTTGACCGTCACGGGGCTGTCACGGGAACAATGGGGCTCTCTCGGGTAATTGTCCGAAGTTCGTTACGTAGATTAAAAGAGAGAAAACTAATCAACATATAGCTAGTAAACTTACAGTAAATGGAGTGAGACTAGTTATATAAATCAAGGAATCAGAATCTTTGACTAAATTAGCGTAGGATCTTCATCACTTTTCACATACAGTCATGTTGAGTACGCAAGATTTCATTCATAATTATAATCAGCGATGAATCTCGAAGTTAAGACTGTATAAATCGAAAACGACCTGGAAACCTGGGAAACAAGAAAGCTCTGACGGAATATCATAGGTATATTTATTCATGCGCCGTAAGCATTGACGGATGTGATTGGTTGATACCATGGCATTTACAAGTGATCGGCACGTTTACTTGCAGCTGTCAACTGGTCGCCTTGAGGCCACTCAATAAACGCCACGATACATTATTTAACGGCCCGGTGAAAGATATCCGATGTTGCGCTGTTAAAAACACGATTTCGCCACTAAAGCGGCCTGTCCAAAATAAAAAATAAATAAATGAATAAACGTAGAATAAAAAATAACATAATATTTTCAAGTGAAACATATTTTCTAGTCATCCTGCTCAGCAGTCATATGTTTTTTGAAAACATTCACTTATTACACTGTAAAATTACGATTTTTGGTAGCGACAAATAAATATTACATTTTCTATCATAGTTTTTTCATTTTTTCTCTTCCAACTGTAATCTTACCCCCCGTAGCAACAGAATTAATGGTTTTTTTATTTTCTTTCTATCTTTCTCTCTCAAATCTCATGCGACTGCAAAGCTAGGAAGAAATGTTTCTGTGGCTACAGCAGGTTAAAAGATGATATGCAAATTTAAGAAGTGAAGACTTATGCTGTAGGAAGTTACTGAAGAACACGTCGGCGTCTATTGGTAAACCAACGCAATCTGACAGTTTTATTTGGAAATGTTGTGAAGCCTGCGAAGCTGATTCATATAAACATCGCGATATATTACTGATGAATCTGATAGAAGTCATTTTATTTTAGAACAAAAAATAAGAACATCGTTTTTCTTTGCCATCTGCGTATGGTACGGATTTGTTTACGATTGAGGAGAATCGAGGCAGGGGAGAGATCCTGTTCAAGGTGTCAACGAATAAGGGGAAAAGGGAGAAAGGATTTACTGATAGGGTGCATGTTTATAATCACAAATGTCCCGCGGTTTTAATGTTTACGAATCGAGGCGTTTCAAGAGAAATACGAACCGCCATGCATCTTATAAATTATTTCAACACCCTGTCTTTGATCATTTCGACCAACTTGCTACTTACCTGCTCGAGAAAGTATTCCTTTTATCATTCGACAGCACTTAACAGTGGGTGCAATCGTTTATAAATATTCCAAGGAAAACGCAACAAAAAGCAACTTGATACCACACGTGTTGGTGCAAGCCAGAGAAGCGCACGAGACTGTTGTCCAGGGGAGTTTGTTCAAACAAGTTCTCAGGTGAACAATGACTGGTTTACCTGTGGACAAAGTATATAATTGAAAACCAAAGCTCGTTTAAAATTTGCATATAAATGATGCATTCTGTGTTACGAGCTCGTTGTCAAATACAGGGTCAACCATGTCTTTTAACCCAATTTCATCCTTGATATATTGAGACCTTCAGTTTATTATGTATTCTGTTAGTTTATTGTCTTGTCGGCATCTTATATTTAGTGTTTGTTAACACTCTTTAAAGGGACTTTCTGGAATAGCAACAATTTATGCCAGCTAATTAAACGCGTTGTATTTTCCTCATTGTTCTAGATATATCTTGGGATATATCATTAGCTATCATTCGACCCTGAAAAAGAGAATTCATAAATTTCAAATTTCCTCTGCATGTGGTCAAACATGTTATTTTATATAACTGGCCCCTAGCATGCAGTTTTAATTAATTACAGTGAATGAAATATAAATTGGGAAACAGCTGAGAAGCAATATGAGTTAATTCATCCATTTAGTAGGTATTACGTGCAGTCGCTCACTACTCCTTTGAAACAAATTACACTGCCCGGCTGACGGTTAAAACTTATAATTGAAACTTTAGTCCGTGCAATTCTTCCATCGTAGCATGCGTCAGAAGGCCTAAGAAGACCTCAATTTGCGATCACCTTTTGTGTCAGAATTGCTGTAATGTCTCTGTGGGAAAATGTCAAGTTACCCTCTCTAATATGAATCGTTTTATATCACATTTTTCGCAACACAATTTCACCTTAATACATATGCTTAAATAACAATCACCAGGAGTAACAGATAACATGGCTTATTATATCGCAGAGCTTGACTTTAGCGAGTAGTAACAAGAGTTAACTCAATGTCACACAACTAGTGCTGTTCATTCAAGTTTTCAACTTCGGCTATTAGTGTTCAGAACATTTTCATGAAACTTTTTCAGCACATTTCCTGCTGGGTTATACCTAGCGACAATATACGTAAGACTTCCATCGCGACTCTTGCATGTTCCCACTCCAACTTCAGTGGTATCTCGCCAAACGATCTGAGTGAAGTGACCAGTATCGAAACTAAAACCAGGCGAGTGGTATTTGTAACTGTTGATCTCCGAGTACCAAATCCTCACAGCGTCAGTGACATCATAGTGGTTCGACATGCGGCAGATGTTTTCTCCCTTAAACTTTCGTTCTTCTTTATGCGCGTGACGCAGTTCACCATTTCGAGACAACTTCTCTGCCCAAGCCTGCGCCTCTTTTGATAGCGCAGCGGACCATTTAAGACTGGGCACGCCGTGAAGGGCGCGAAGTTCATTGTGTGCTTTTAGTACCGCGTCAATGAACGAATCTGCAACCAATAAAATTGCATCCATAATATAACTTACAATAGTGCGATGTCATTTTCTGGGAAAAACGGGTAAGACCTCACCCCCTGCAATAGAAAATATGCAATCATAACCTGATAACTCAAGTAAATAATGATAAATCCAGGAAGGCGTAAGGAGAAACGGCCAGTCCTATTGCCCATTTACTTAGAAACGGAACAGATAACATTATCTACATACAACAAAGGTGCCAACAGCCAAAAGAGATTGAATAGGTAAGTGTATTGTAAGTTCTCTTACCGTGTGGAATAAAAGAATCTTGCATCTTTACCACGTTTTCCCCTTGCGGGGATGTCTTTTCTGTAACAGAAAACCGCAAAAGTATTTCTTTGTGTAATTTGCCTCCACATCGATGATTGAAGTAAAACTACTTTACACAAGTAACTATGCGATGCGTCCTACCTGGCATTTGTTGTTTTTCTCCCGTTGGCACCTGCCCCTATCAAAACAAAACAGAACAATTTTAAAAATACGTTTAAGTTTTCTTAGCCTGCGTACAGACTTCACCGTCACTGTTTCCTTAGCAAAGGAAATAGTAGACGGTTGTACGCAGCTGGCTGTATGTGCCGGGTCAGCTTGAATTGAAAACTGTTTTTTGAATGTGGGAAAGCCCAGGCTGTACCAATTGAGTCATTTCTCGTTTAAACCCAAAGAACAAATTGGAATTCAGTACACGTGTAGACAACATTGCAGTCGGTGACACAAGCACGGAAAGAGACATGAGAGCTAAATCCACGTGTTTGTACAAAAATACCAGGGTATCGGTGATCGCTTATTCAAGAATTGAAATCTGCAGCCGGACAAGCACATTTTGGCGAAGAGTATACTGGGCTTGAAATCCTGTGTGGTTACTGTTGTCGTCTCGTTTAATGAAAGCAACGAGGATGATTTAAATTTATATGTCATTTATTAATCCTCACTTTAACTCTTTGTATAAAGTATATCGTTACGATTAAATTTAGAGCCGAATATCGTCATGTTCGATGCAATCACTGCTGCTGGATACTTTTTGGCCATGAACCTCTAGATGAGGAGAAATGGCGGTGAACTTCAGCTAAGAAGCTAGGTTATTTGACGT